TTTTCTAAGGTGAAGTATGGCATAGGGTGAAATCTTTTTTGAGTCAGGCAGGTAACTAAAGCCAAGACATGTATGGGTTTGTTGGGGGTTTTTTTAATTTTTGTTTTTCTTAGAAGGAAGTTTAGAAAATTCAGGCTTGGTGGAAGTGTGCAGGGATGTGGTTCCTGTGGTGGTCTGCCATTTATGCCTGTCACAGTAAAACTTGAACCCTTGCAGAAAAGTGTGGAAACCACAGGCTATGTGGAAACATGCCCACAGGCAAGCTCCTACAGGGGCTCCAGTGTCTGATTATTGACTTCATGCAATGTATGCCTACCTTCAGAAAATAATTCAGTGGTTTAACTCTAGAATTATTTGACAATGAAAGTTTGCGGCCAGTGTTGGTACAATACTGAGAGACGTAGAATAGGTCTTGCTGTGTTCAGTTGGATGGTAGGTATAAAACTTCTTTCATAATACTTTGATGCTTTTTTTCCAGGGGAATACCCAACTATGACTTCAAGATCGGTAGAATCACATTCATTAGAAACTCACGTCCACTAGTTAAGAAAGTTGAAGAGGTAAATAAAGTTGGATCCTTCCCAATTTTGCATGGAATTAGAACATTAGAACTACTGTCCAAGTTTGTGGTTCTTCTCTCCATACTTGATTTTTCACAGTGCATTTCTGTTAAAAAGTGGCAGTATTTAAAAAGTGGTTGGAGTTAAGTGAAAGCAACCTCTGATGTCTTTGCTTGCTGATGTTAAAAGATTGGCTTGATGTAAGTTTAGTAAGCCAGTGCATACGTGTTTCAGTTGGCTGAAAGGTGACTGAAATGCTCATATTTTATTTTCAGGAAGAAAGTGGTTATTATGTAGATTAAGGATGTGAAATGTCTACAGTCAGTTGCTGCTCTGATGGAATTTTCTTTCTAATGATTGTTCAGCTTTCAACACACACAAGCAGTGAAGAAAGAGGTAACGACCTTTTTTCCCTTTTTCCTTTTTCCAGGATGAATCTGGAAGCCGGTTTATCGCCTTTTCAGGAGAAGGCCAGTCCCTGCGCAAAAAGGGAAGAAAACCCTAAGTTGTGGTACCTTTAGTCAGTTAGGAGGAAAATAAAATAACAATTGCAGCATATTGGATCTTAGTTATGGCAGTTGAGAGAAGAGATCGTTTTGCAACACAGGAACACTTCTACTGGTTTTGGTTTTTGCATTTTAAACCGGTGCTGTCAGACTCTTAATTTTCAGTTGAAAATTAAGTTTAGGAATTCTGAAGGAGGTTTTTGTGTATGTGTTGTAAAGAGGGAAGGTGTATCTTGGGTAAACCTGAGAAGTAAAACCAACAAGGTCTACCTTACTAAAAGGTCCAGTTCTTAGATTACATCCTCCCCTCTTATGTCCTGAGTGATGATGGTCTCATGTTGCTCTGTGCTTGATATTTTCCTCCCTCTCTCTATATTTTGCCACAATTCCAGGTAAGCTTTTTGGTGTGGTGCAAAGGAAGTCTAACATTTGGGTGTTTAAGACTTTTGCGCAGGGAGTCTCTTTGATCTTAGCTTCAGGTGTTGGGTTATAAACCATTCTAAGCAATCCCCCTGTAATTGCTTTTTATATTTATAATTAATAACATGCCTTTTTAATAGTTCAGATACAATAATGTACGGTAGCAACCTAATGGCACGCGTAGGGAGCGGCGAGACCCAGCTGCTCTGCCTGGTGTGGGTGAGGGAGTACAAAGCTCCGGCGTCCGGCGCGTAGCCTGGCAGTGGAGGTAGTAACCTGCGCATCCTTCCAAGTGCTGGCGTGGCGTTATTGAGCCTTTGGAGGGGTCACCGAGTGAGAAACCCCGGTGCTGCCCGCTGAAAGGCCGAGTAAAGGTTCCTTGGTAACCAGCCCGCGTCCCTGGTGTGGTGATTTCGGTGACCGCCCGGAGCGGCGGGGGCA